ATAACCGTTTTTTACTACTTGCATATGAATATAAATACGGTACATATACTAAAATTTATTTTTATACAATTTTTGTCTGTCTGTCTGTCTGTTTGTTCCGGCTAATCTCTGAAATAGCTGGACCGATTTTAATGGGATCTTTTTTGACAGGTAGCTGATGTAATAAGGAGTAACTTAGGCTACTTTTATTTTAGAAAAATAAAGTTAACAACCACGCGGACGAAGTCGCGGGAATAGCTGGTGTATAATATATTAGAGATACCTACGTGTTTTTTTTTTATTGATGACTAGCTGTACACGGGATTTCGTCCGTGTGTAATTTAACTTTATTTTACTAAAATATAAGAAGTTACATTCTACGCGAACGAAGTCGCGTGTACAGCTAGTTGTCGGTAGTCTAGCGATTTAGCTAGTACACCGCTTTGATTCCTGCTTGGTGGTCGAGGGTTCGATTCCTCGCACGCTGCAAACATTTGTATTCATGAGTATGATTGTTTGTAACGGTCTGGGTGTTTTCTATGTATAGATAATATATATTAATTTACGAAAAAAATCTTTGTATTTGTATCAGTTGTCTGGTACCCATAACACAATGTTCAGCTAGCTTAACTTGGGTCTAGATGAAGCTGTGTGAATTGTCCTGAGATTACTATTATTACTATAATAAATCTTTTCAAATCAGCCGATGTTTATTTTTGCCATAATACGTGCTGTTACCATGTGATAATATTACGTAGTTACTGTTTTAAATGTGATGTGTTCATTATTTATATTTCCTTTGAATTAAAGACAAGTGTATATATATATATATATATACGCGCACTTAGTTGTACACTTTGTTGATCCAGCCACGACCCGTAGATACATTTGCTGGTTCCACTGTCTATCTCTTTCTACCACTATAACGGTATCGTGGCGGAACGGCAACATGTTGCCGTTCCGCGTTCCCGCGTGTTCCCTAGATAAAGTATTCGTCGATAGTACCTGTACTCGATATATATTTTTTCAACAATTTCCTGCAATAGTGACTCCGTATCAGCAAATTTTTTTAAATGCACAAAAACTTTTTGGCTCTGAATATATTTAAAAAATCATTTACTTGTGTGTTGATGAATTTATATACTAGTACATGAAGTACCTAAAATACTTGTTTTGATTCGAATAGGTAGCGATATTATGAATTTATTGTACGTAATCTAAAGATTTTGACGAAATAAGAGTAATTAGTTATCTATCTATCTGTTAACCTTGACTTCATACTGGCACCAGTATTATCAGATGATGAACATACTCTTCGAAAACTTACAGGCGAAATATCGTGTTTGGACTCATTAGATTGGTCTCGATGAATAGAGTTTAAAAAACTTAAAATAAATGGTAAATTAGAAATAACGTATAAAAACACTCTACGCAAAATTCAACCACTTTAAAACTTAATAATAATAATTAGGAAAAGATCAAAGCTATAAGTGCACTGAAAGTAATTGATGGCTTCCACACAATATTTTCAGTACTAAACAACTCTGTTTGTTCAGTAAAAGTGTAAATACACTGGTAACCTTTAATCATATTTTATATGCAAACATTACATATACAAACCCTAAAGTTTTATTTCAAGTAAATAACTAGTTTATTAGCATACAACGTTATAATTTAATTTTCTCATTGCTTTCTTGATTTAATTGATTGATTTTAGAAACATGAAAGCGTAGCGGTTTTTGTATTGATTGCCGCATGCATTCTTATGTAAAATGTGAATACTATAACTATCAGATGGCAATTGTAAGTAGCTTTGACGTAGTCTAGTGTTTTGAGTAGTCATGCTCACTAAAATGTCCAGACTTGTGGCGGCGTGGTGGGCCGGGTCATTGGGCTCCCTAAAATATGGTCGAGCGCAGTGATGGCTGGCTCATCCGTCATACTCGTGAACGGGTGCTGCTTGTAGGGACTGGTCTGCTCTAATCACTATGACTGATTTTCTCTTATTAATTGTTTAACCAGTTGGTTATATATTCAATATTTTTTCTATTTGAGTATTTAATTGAATTAGTGCTAATTGTTGGTTTGTATTCACACACTTAAACTTAAAAATGTAAAGTAATAATAAAATTATTTAAAAGAGCAACACGCAAGTTTCTTGCTCGTTCTTCTTGTGATGAGACAGCTTTCCGAACGAGCGGTAGATTAAAAAATGTAATGACTATTCAAAAGTGCTTCAATGTAAGTTTATTTGAATAAATGATTTTCTATTTCTATTTCAGAATGGCCAGTAGTTTTCAAGAAATAAGTCTTTGAAATTGTACGTGTAACTTATATATATACTAGTTTTTTCACCACAGCAAACAACACCAATATGGCCTAGTTAGTAGTGTACCTGTTTACCAATTTACCACATAGATACTCCGAGTTCGAATCCTACACTTTTTTTTCATTATTTATTTTTTTGTTTTTTTTTTTATTTTATATTTTAATAATTAATTTATGATTATATACGATTATGAATTTATAATAAAAACGTAGTTAAGTATTAAATTAATTTTACTAGTTAGGAGTGTACCTGTGTACCAACTTACCACACAGACACCCCGGGTTCGATTCCCACCATTGACTATTGTTATTTACTCCTTTTTGTTTTTTTTTAATTTAATATTTTAATAATTAAATTAATTTATACGAGAAAAACGTAGTTAAGTATTAAATTAATTTTACTAGTTAGGAGTGTACCTGTGTACCAACTTACCACACAGACATCCCGGGTTCGATTCCCACCATTGACTATTGTTATTTACTTCTTTTTGTTTTTTTTTTAATTTATTATTTGAATAATTAAATTAATTTATACGAGAAAAACGTAGTTAAGTATTAAATTAATTTTACTAGTTAGGAGTGTACCTGTGTACCAACTTACCACACAGACACCCCGGGTTCGATTCCCACCATTGACTTTTTTTTTTTTTTTTTTTTTAAAGTAATATTTAAAATTAACTATTTTAATAATTAAATGAATTTAATCGATAAAAACGTTGTTTAATATTAAATAAATTTTAAGTGACATTAACTATTATAGCATGCACAAAAAATATTTTGTAATAATAAAGAAAATACATTTGAAATATTGTTGTGTTCATTATTTATAAGATCTTACTATAATTGTTAGCTGCTTTACAATTTAGAAAGTATAATAGTTAATGTAAATTAAAATTAATTTAATACTTGACAACTTTTTGTTCGATTAAATTCATTTAATTATTAAAATAGTTAATTTAAAATATAACATAAAGTCAAAACAAAAAAAATTCTATGGCGGGAATCGAACCTTGAGCGTCCGTTTGGTAAGTTGATTTGAAATTCAAAGGCTTATTTCTTCGAAATTACTGGTCATTTTGTAATAATACTTAGGGTTCGCATACCCTTATCGGATAATACTAATACACGGAGTTTCGTCACAATAAAATATCTAGGTTAGGTATAATAAATTCATAATTAATAGACCGTTACGGTATCTGTATATATTCGGATCAAAACAAGTACTATGAAATAACAAAGAGTATATAAATTGATTAACACAAGTAATTGATTTTTGAAATATATTCAGAGCCAAAAAGTCTTCTTTCTTTATTTATGTACTTGTTAGATGCGACAGCGACTTTTTTTTATACTATACTATACTATGTAATGATTGATATACCTAAAATAAATAAAATATCTGAGGTTTGGACAAAAACTCAAAGGGTAATTTATTTTGAAAATACCTATTTTGCTTTTAGTGTTATAGTACTTTAACTGTTATGTTTTAAGTAACAATGTTTAATTATAATTAATACTACTGCACCAACATTCCGATCGTGCAAAAAAATTTGCTGTTTCATTATTTTTTAGTTCAATTAGTGGTCTACCTAAGTCCTGGGCTAAGGGGGGGAAAGTCATGACGCCCCCATGACTCCCATGACCTCCATGACGCTCCCCCCTGGATCCGCCGTTGCGTCTTCTCTTTATTCGCTCAGTAACGTTGTTACAAAAGAAAAGATTCCCGTCCAAAAAATAACAAGTATTGAGGTTTGATCTGGAGTCACGTTACTCCAGACTGATTTCTATAAATATTTAGATTAGATAGACTATTATTCTTGAAATACTAGCTAGACATTATTAAGTTACTGTAGCCATAATGTAGTAGCCCAAACGTGCCAATGAGGAAGCCCTTGGCAAATGCTGCACCCTGATTGGCCCGTTTGAATTGGATCAAGAAGTGGTCGTATGCCAAAAAGGTGGATTTGTATAAAATCGTGTATAAATCGCTTAATTATTATTATTACTCGTCTTGACAGTTGTGGCTCAAAACGGATCAACATTTATATATGGTCATCTGGCATTAGATCAACAAAAGGCCTCCGGATCAACAAGTGAAAAAGGATCAACAAAAAACTACCTATACGGCACGTCTGAGCCACAAAGTGCCCAAGGGGATATTTATATATATATATATATATATATATATATATATATATATATATATATATATATGGGCCATTATACACGAGGTATACCTTAAGGTATACCTTACAGACAATTTCTGTGTTTACGCACTGTTAGCGGCAGGCTTCTACGATAGCGTCGATACACTCCCTTGGTTAGTAGTCATTCTTCATCATGGTGGAAAGCATATTCGTGACCATGTTTACCAGGAGCGCGCACACCATATGAGAATTTTACAAAGCTATTTGATGATCTTGATTGATGACCAGTATTTTAGTGATAATAAAATCGTCTGCGGTATAAAAAAACAATCCCATTTTTTATCATCCGGTAGAGATAGAAATTGATAAAAATATATTTTTTAATCAATGTATTTTTTATGGTTAATAAACTTAAGTAATACTTATAAGCTACATTTTTACCACATAGCTCAGTAAATATGCGTCCAATTGTCAACAGTCGAGAAAGAGATTTTATAAAATTTACCAATTCTTAGGACTTATTTTTATATGTACGTATATTTACAGGTATGCCGACCCTTGGCAAATTCGACCTCACCTCTGAACGAATTAGGGTACATTATCGACTACACATGCCAGACTAATGACAGTCGCCTCATCAAGAACGCTCGACTGTCCTTCCCTAGCGCGCACTCTAGTTATGCCATTTACTCTGCTTTATACCTTATAGTAAGTACACATAAAATACTTATATCTACTTACTAGTAACCCGTCCCGACTTCACACGCAATACAACCATTTGGATTTTTCTGTTTTTCTATACTATAATATTCATCTGTCTGGTTTTGCTTGCTAATCTTTGAAACGGCTGGACGGATTATGAGTCTCAGATAGCTAAAAAATATTCACGCGAACAAAGTCGCGAGTTAGAGCTACTTATATAATGGTAACCCAGGACATCTCACACAGCGCCATCTTGTCTCAAGCTAAGCAGAGTTGTGCAATGCAATACTAGTCAACTGATACAAATACTTAAATACATATTTTTGTAAGTACATACATAATATACATAAAAAGTACCCAGATCTATACAAACAATTTTATGAATACAAATGTTTACAGCATGCGTGGAATCGAACCATGGTCGGGCCATGGGAAAAAACTGTGTTCTAGACCGTTGAACCACACCAATTGCAACGATATTTGGTCTACTATTTCAGTTCTACATTCAAACAAAAGCGAAATGGCGCGGGTCGAAGCTGCTCCGACATGGCATACAGTTCGCTGCGCTTATGGGTGCTTGGTATGTCGGCATCTCGCGGGTGGTGGACCACTACCATCACTGGAGCGATGTGGCTGCGGGATTCGTAAATGGCACCGTATTTGCTGTCCTTACGGTATTAAAAATCTTATTCATCATTACACTATACGGAATTTTTTGTCAGACACAATCGGACCTGCGAGCACAATTAGACACTGAACTAGTAGTTTAGCACCTTGAATTACGCCTAATTGACATTTCTGCTCCCCGGTGAAGGAAACACCGATATCAAAACAAAGATTAACAGGGCTGTAAAACTGATTAAATCTGGAAACAAAAATTATGCCGTATGCCAGCGGTAGGCTCGCTACCTGTCATGTTTTCAATTCATTTCAATTCATACATTCATAAATGAATGAATGAATTTTAAATAAATTAAGAGCCGTGCTCTTAAATTATTTAAAATTCATTCATGCGTGTAATGGTAGACAGGTAAAATATTAGCATGATTTTATATATTTTTTAAACAAAATAAAAAAATGATCCTAAAAATAAAGTTTTAATGAAAAATAGTTTACATCCTTTTTTCAGTACTACACAGAGTAACACACAAAATTTCATAGTAATTGGTTAAGCCGTTTAGTAGCAGTTTTGTTACAAACACTGACACGAGAATGTTATATATTACATTACATATTTTATATTTTTTATACATTATTTTACAAGTTGAAACATCATTAAACGAAAACTATTAATATTTTCTAATAACTAAAATCTTTTACACACCTAGTTTAACAATTATATTGTTGTACTACTTTCTTTCAAATGAAGAAATCAATAATCGTAATAGAAGTACATACAATAGCTGAAAGAGTACTTTTAGTACAATTTCGTAATTTCTTTTCATTTCAGTTCGTATACATTTTGAGGCCGAAGAAATATGGACTTCCATCGTCCTGGCAAGGGAGACCACAAGAAGGAAATGTGCAAAACGAACTGTCCCAACCTGCTTTGGCCCGATGACAAAACAGCGTGTTATAATGACTTTGGGAGTCTAGGAATCCTTACATAAAACCATATTCACTGTTCACCATTCTTCACTTATATTATGTATTGGAAAGTATGTCTGTTAAATCAAATTTGACGACCTCGGTGGTCTAGCGCTCTAGCTCACCGCTTTACGTCCGATGGTCGCGGGTTCGATTCCTCGCACGGCACAAACATTTGTATTCATGAGTATGATTGTTTGTGCCGGTCTGGGTGTTTTCTATGTATAATATGTATGTATTTACGAAAACAAAAAAAATATCTATAACTTGTATCAGTTATCTAGTACCCGTAACACAAGCTTTAGATAGCTTAACTTGGGACTAGATGGCGCTGTGTGAATTGTCCAGATATTATTATTATAAATCAAATCAAAAATCATTTATTTATGTAGGACATTTTACCCTCTTATGAAAGTTAAATTTTTTGTAATTATAATTTTCCCTAACGTCCTTCCGTTCAGTATACAAATTCAATTGAGAAGAACTGGCAAGAAACTCAACTGATTTTTAAAGCCAGTTTATTTACATTATGTACTGTTGTAGGTGTATATGTCTAATATTAAGTGAAAAATCCGTGCATAAACTACAACTGTCATGCACTTCACTCTGTAAATAAATAAATTTTATCTAAAGAAATTCGAGAGAGCTCAAAAAGCCTTCTAAACATTATAGCAAATATGTCGGATTGTCCGCTCCAGAGGGACTGGACATCATTGCACTGCTGCGGACCCAGTGCTTCTGGACATGACCATAGATATACGAATTAGAATAATAAGGATAGACATTGTAATTTGTAAGTAGTTTACTAACATAATACGGATGGATATCCGAATTAAATGATTTCATAAATAAATCAAATAAAGATATGATAGTACAATGTATTACGAAGACAATATACGTCGTGTATTATCGTAGGAAATCATCTGGAATCGGTAGAAATAGGGGATGTAAGTTTGTGCAGCTAGTCATATATTTATTTATCAGAAGTATAAACCTTTACAAAATTTCTACCATTTCAAGAAGCAAAACTTAGAAACGATACGGCGATACCATCTCCCATTCTGTTTTGGTGATTCTTTTATTTGTTTATTTCATTTATTGAGCTAGTACCCATATATAAGGTGACCTCGGTGCTGTAGTGGTGTAGAACACAACCTTATTATTGATGGTCCCGGGATCGATTCCTCGCACAGTCCTCACCAAGGAACATAATACTCTAAAGAGGTCCTCACATTAACTTATTTTCTGTCCATGCAATTTTTATAACGGTGAAAAACATGTTTTTAAAATAAATATAGAGTATAAGAAGCACGTAAAGTAATTTGTTTGTATATATGAATAATGTTTGGAAACTACGATGTGTAAAAAAACTAAAGAAAGCGGTATTATTAGGCATTTCTTAGTTATATATAGTGTGTTCATTTCATTCATTCATAATTTAAGAGCTACGCTCTTGTCGGTGGAGCTCTTGCCACTTTACGCGATCTTCCATCACGCTCTTTAATATAGTGTGTATGTTAATATAATTACAACGTTACATTTTTTTTATTTTATAAAATCATGTGACGCCTGGTAGGAAATGCTTATCGCCTTAAGGCCGCCTTTTGTAATAATATCTTCTGAGACTACTTTAAGCAATTACACACAATTGTATTTCAGAACTTTTTAACTAAATGCCATTTTATTGAATATAACGTAAAATCTTTTATAGTTATAACATAATTTATGTGTAATTGTGGACCTGTTTACATTATTTTGACTGATATCGTAAAATGCAGATCTAGAGGAATGAAAGTAGACGAGATAAGAAATGCATGTAAGGATTAATTTCTCGCCCCATTTCTGGGAATCTAATGTCATGCATTTAGTAATTTATTAAGATGATAATATACAATAATGTTTGACTAAACTAAAATAGACCCATTTTCTTATATTTATATTGTTAACCCGGTCTAAACGAATAATCTTATAAATAAATGTAAATAATAATAAATAAATTAAGGTATTTACCTCTCGGTTATATTTATTTACCACAAAGTTATTCGTGTTAACCCATTTAACAATATAAATAATGTATATTATTTGTATTTTTATTCTAATTTTTTGAAAAACTGTAATACCAAGAAACACTCAGGGAATGTTGGATTTGTTATTGATTTCCTCATACAATAAACTAGATTATGTTGTAGAATAAATGTATTATAGTTTATATATTATTAGATAATTAATAGTTGATAAGTAATAAATAAATAATTTGTCATTTTTTCTATTTATTTGTTAATTTCTAAACACGAGTAATATTTATCATGGTTGTTAATGAGTGGAATGGTCATATATATGATGTGGTAACATTACATCGAGGTCGATTTTAAACAAAGTCATCTGCTTATAGAATACTCCCTCTCTATCTCATTTCACGCGGGTTCGATTCCTCGCACGGTGCAAACATTCGTATTCATGATTATGATTGTTTGTATTAGTTTGGGTGTTCTCTATGTATATTATGTATGTATTTACAAAAAAATGTATTTAAATATTTATATCAGTTATATAGTACCCATAAAATAATAATAAGAACTAGTGACTTCATTGCTGGCCATGCATCATATCAGGTCGACCTCCACGTGGCCTGTTAGCCCATCATGACAAATTCATCAAGAATTTGCCACGATATATCTTTTAGTTAGGTTACAGCTTGGAATGCAACTTTTTAAACTATGTATAATTAGGGTAAAGGAGATTGTTAATAATGTAGAGTAATAATACCATTGCTAGCAATTGGCTATTTGACAGTTATAGAAATAAAATATGAAAACTATATTTTATGGTAAAGCTACCATAAAATATGTATACAATTTATTTTCAAACAGATTTATTTTCCATGCAAAAAACATTATTAATATTTTACTTTTGGAAATTAAATCTGAGTTTTTTTTTATCTGTGGTTGACATGGAATCGTCGTCATGTCGTCATGACGTCAAAATTCAATAAACAAAATGTTGTTAAGTAATCTCATATCTTTTGTTATATAGTTTGCTGAGAAAAATCGCTCAAATATTTCAATTTGTATTGTTTATAGTTTTACGAAATGGAGTTACGCAATATTAAAACGGATAATGCAAATTTGCCCAGAATATATTCGTTTATGATCGTAAATCTCTTTGCATAATACTAATATATGTGGGAAGCCGGGGCGGATGTCGCTGTCTGTCCGTCCCTATGTATGCTTAAATGTTTAAAACTACTGTAATCCTAATTTTTTGTATTAATGAATGTGATTGTTTGTGTGTATTTGGGTGATTTCTATGTATAATATATATGTATTTATGTTGGAAGTATAATGCTGGCCATCGTAGAATTAGGTGTTTGTACATTTTTATAGAATATGTCACTTTAAAAATATCTCTGTAATGTTTGTAATGTCAACATATAAATTTTATCATTTTAATATATTTTAATATTTAATCTGCTCTGCAGAATTTAGTATTTAATGTTTATTTTACCAATAGAACCAATTATACAAACCATATCAAGTCGACCGTGGAAACCATTGTTATAAATTCATGATGAATTTACCATCAGTTATGACCTGCCCTTATGCCCATGTTATCCTCCACTGGTGCCCCGCCAGCGTAAACCGTTAGCGCAAGCAGGTACACCATTCCATTATCATCCATAAGAATTGTCTATTATTGCCTTTACAATGAAAAATTATAAGCTAAAAATAGGGTGAAATTGTTCCAATTATTATTTCAATAGCCGTGCCCGCATTACATTTCAATAAAAAAGATAGCCTGTATGTTATTCTGATACATAAGTTGTATTACTGTAAAGTTTTATCACAGATAACATAATATTACATAGTTTTATCAAAATCCGTTCAGTATTTTTTGCGTGAAAGTGTAACAAACATCCATACTCACAATACTTCGTTTTTTTTTATATTAAATATATATAATATTAAAAAATATAATATACATATATATATATATATATATATATATATATATATATTATTAAGATTAACATGCATTGGAAAAAGTATATCATCCATAGTTTATACTATTTCTCCAATTCTATTTATATTATTATTACAACATTATAACAATTGTACCGTAATCATTTGTTGTTAGCGTAATTTCCATGTAGATAACCTGTTGACATTGAGGCGAGTGTTTCCACTTGTTAATTTATTCCCCATCATTATCGTAGTTCTATTTACGTCCGTTCCATTAATAGGAAGTATCAATAAGAATACACAATGTATTCTATATATATGATGTTTTGGCAATTTACAACATATAACACTAAACACTAGAGAACCGCCCCGGCTTCACACGAACTCAAATATTGTTGCATAAAATCTCTATTTTTTATAATTTATACAAACAAATGTAATGCAGTAAATACTACTTTATTATATATTTACATCTGTTTATGTACATAGTACATATAAAAGGTAAATCACACGTTATAGGTGCAAAAATACAGATTACCAGACTTTTTCAGTTGTTTCACAGTTCTATTATCTCTATCAGTGGAATTCAATCTAAAAATTGAATCGAAACAAGGTGGAACATACATAATACTAATATATGTGGGAAGCCGGGGCGGATAGCTAGTAGTCATCATTACATAGTTTAAAACTAAGTCGCTGTCGCTGTCTGTCCGTCCCTATGTATGCTTAAATGTTTAAAACTACGCAACGGATTTTGAAGCGGTTTTTTTTAATAGATAGAGTGATTCACGAGGAAGTCGTACTAGCACACCGCTTTACTTCCAAGAGCCGCGGGTTTGATTCCAGGAACGCACAAACATTTGTATTAATGAATGTGATTGTTTGTGTGTATTTGGGTGATTTCTATGTATAATATATATGTATTTACAATAAAAATTGGTCTCTAAGCATATCTATCAGTTATCATATCATTATTACCTAAAACACGAGCTTTACTTAGATAGGAACTTGATGACGCTGTGTGAATTGTATAAAGTAATTATTATTATTCTAAAAGTACAGAATTATTTAGACCACTATATATAAATACGTTCATAATACAAATATTATGAACGTATTTATAGAAAAAAATATATCCACACGTCATATTTGTATC